ATCAGCTCTCCAACCTCTTCGTAAAAATCTTTCGCAAGCTTCTCAATGCAATTAGAATCAATTCTAAAAGATTTGCCATGGGGTATGACATTAACTGGCATCAACAGGTTTGCTAATGATTTTTTTTTTTTTTTTTTGGCCATTTCTCCCTCATTACCTACTCCGAGGCACATGGGCCTTCTTTCCGTTCCTACGGCAAGCCGATCTCTTTCCCTAGACTGTTCACGTGTGCTTACTCCTCTCCTTGGGAAAGTCTCTGGGGGTCCTCAACTCCTTTGTATCTTTGGAACTACTTACTGACCACCGCATCAAAGCCCCAGCCCCCCTTTCCCTTCATTCTCTATTCTAACAGCACGTTTATCACCTTATTGAAATGATCGTCATCTTTCATTACTTAGGAATGCTTTTGTTTGACTCTCCCACCAGACTGTAGATTCCATAAAGGCAGGACTGTGTGCCTGACTGGTGTGGTATCCAGCACCAGTGCCTATTATAATGGTGGGCACACAGTGGCCTCTCAAACCCTCGTCAGGATTTGTTGAATAAGGGAAATATATTCACCTCAGCCAACGGTTCTCAGCACTGGTCACACATTAGAATTACCGAGAGAGCTTAAAAAAACACCTGCACCCAGACTCCACCCCCCGAGACTCCAATTTAATTAGCATAGCATGGGGCCTGGTGTCAGCATTTTTAGAAAGTTCTTCAAGGGATCCTAGTGTGTAGTCCAGAAAGAGAATCACTGCCCAGAATGAACTAAGGGGGACCATTAAGGTATTACTAAAATCCTAACTTGGGGAAAAATTCCTCAAATCTAGTTTATAATTGGCAAGATGAGAAAGAGCAAATGGACTGAGTTGCGTGGGTCTTGTGAACATTGACAATGGACAGAAATGCAGCACGAAGAAGGCTGAGGAATGTGATGGACCAAACTGGAAGCCGTGAGAACATCTGGTCCAGGAGGGCAACATGTTATCAGGCCATAGCATGAGCCCACTGTGGTGATGAAACCTTTAGTGTCCTCATCTGCAGGTCTATTCCCTTTCCTTCTTTGTCTCCAGGGTCTGGCATGCACACTGGAACACAGAAGGGGATGCTCAGAGCACTGTGACTCTGGCCGTATGGAAGGAAGACCCCTTCCCTTTCCTTCTCCCCCATCTTCATGCTTCAGGATGAAGCATCCAGCTTCATGGATGGGTCCCCATCCAGCAAGGGGGTAGACAGTAGACCTGAATGATATCAGCACAAGGAAAGGGGGAGTCTTGGGGAACCCAGGGGTGAGTGAGAGAAGAAGAGAAAGGAGGTCCAAGGAGGAAGGAGTTTTCCCTGCGCACTGTGAGGAAGGCCACCTGGGCAGAGAAACAGGGGAGGAGACTCAGTGAAAGAGAGCTGCCTACCCCACACCTCCCGTGTGGCCAGTAAGGGGGTCTCCAGTGGAGTGTGACTCACACAGGAACAAAAGGACTTCCTAATACAGGCCCTCCCTTCTTTGTGTGTGAATCTACTGGCTCAGAGTTACAGTGTTTGTGATAAGGCTGTAAATCCTCATCAGTCCACAATTAGGGTGTAGAGCTGGGATCTCCGTGAACTTTACAACTTCAGATAAACACTTCCAAAATGCCAGGGCCTTCTGGTTACTGTATGTTGACCGAAGCAGAAGGAGGTAGTCTGTGATTCAAGAGTGATCTGTTTACCCCCAAAGGTCACCAACCATCAGGCCATTTGACCCTTAAACATGTTTTGTTCTCGTGCACAGTTTTTTAAAAGTTGCTGAAATTTTTGGTCTTTTAAAAATAAGGATTTGGGGCTTAAAAAAGCAGATAAGCTACAAATACTACGCCTTTTTCTTCTGCAAGATGGATCTGGACCTGGCTCCTTCTTTTCCGACCCTTCTCTTCCTTCCTCATCCACACACCTTTATTGAGGACCTGCTTTTGCAAAAAGTTCAAAGATAAATAAGATATAATGTAAGCACAGGGTCTGTGTGTTCCCGCATATATTTCTGTGCTCAGGTTTTCTTTTCATTAGACCTGGCCAAGGGCTGAGATAAGATCTGGGACTTGGATTAAATTCTGCATTCTCTGAGTCATCTTGCTTTTCAAATACCGGTATTTCGGTCCTCCGTTAGAACTGTCAAATAATTTGTCTTCCAAATGGGCTGCTCTTCTGAATTTCATTCAGAAGCTGGAGTGCGAGATGGTTGTGCCAGTTAATAAGCTCTTGTAGCTCGGCTTCGAACCAGTGCTTTTTCCCTCTGCTTTGTGATGTTGGATCAAGACTACCCCGACTCTAGTTCTGCCTTGTCAGCTGCTTCCCGTTCTGTTGTCCATACACAGCCCTGGGGGGGTGGGGGGTGGGGGAGGGGGAGGACGAGTGGGCTACAGCACTGGGGGGCTTCCTAAGCCCTTCCTTCCCCCCTCCCAGCCGCCGCTGGTGTCACGCGACACCATGTTATCAGGCCATAGCATGAGCCCACTGTGGCGATGAAACCTTTAGTGGCCTCATCTGCAGGTCTATTCCCTTTCCTTCTTTGTCTCCAGGGTCTGGCATGCACACTGGAACACAGAAGGGGATGCTCAGAGCACTGTGACTCCGGCCGTGTGGAAGGAAGACCCCTTCCCTTTCCTTCTCCCCCATCTTCATGCTTCAGGATGCCAAGCCTTGGGTCCCCATCCAGCAAGGGGTGACAGTGTCACCTCCTCAAAGGTCTGACACCCAGCGCCCCGGCCTCTCTCAAGCACGTGGGTGCTACTGACTCCAGCCCTGGGAATGGTAGCTGCTTTCTGAGATTATCATCTCTGAGCCAGCCTAGGGTCTCCATTTCGTGTCGCCAGTCCTCTAACACCTGTTTCATCAGTTCCTGATAGCCCTGGTCCTCGAACCTGAGCTTGCATTGGAATCACCTGAAAGGCTTGTTGAACACCCTTTGCAGCTTGTTGCTGCCCCACCCCCCACCCTACCCAAGTTTCTGAGGCAGTAGCAGGTCTGGGGTGGGGCCGGAGAATTTGCTTTTCTATCAAGTTCCCCAGTGAGGCAAATGCTGCTGCTGGTCTGGGGGACCCCACTTAAATAACCACTGCTGAACCTTATATTCCCCTGGTCAAAATAGTGTGTATTCTGTTTTCTGGCTGGCCTCTGATTGCTTTAATGGCCTTCACTAAAATAGCGCGCCGCCCAGGTCTACCGGTTTGGTTTGGTATGTTGCGGGAGCGGGGAGGTAATGCCAATATCCACTTCTCACCTGGACCTACCCATGACACTGAATCACTATCTCAGTCTGTCTGTCCACACCCTGTACCTGTGTTCTAGCTCCTCTGCCCTAATCTCGAAGCCCTCAGCCTTCCTTCACAGCTTTCATTCCACCCCTCTCCAGCTCTTGTCCTACCACCTCCATGGGCCCGCTCTGCTCATCCCATCCCATTGGAATTCTGATTTCTCTAAACTGTACTGAGTGCCCAAGCGAACATCTCCTTCTGGGTTTGCTTTCTCAAGTCCGCAAACACGTATTGAATTGCTCACTGCATGCGGAGCCTCATGCCCGATGCTCATGCTGGAGATACAAAGATGAGAAAGACTTAAACTCTGCCCTCCCAGAGTCACCATTTCTGCACGATTGGAAACTGTGTTATCTGCTTGTGAGAGACAGAACTCCCACTGGACAGAGAACTGCTTTGGTGAAGTGAATTATTTGATTGGCAAGATGTGGAAGAGGTAAGACCTGAGGAAGTGTGCTCAAGGCTGAATGGGTGAAGGCTGTCTTGCACTGCGAGCTGAGGGAGCCCCTGTTGACCCAAGGCTCTGTTTTCTAGAGAGGGAGCTCGGCAAGCTTGTGGCTGGCGTTGAGTTGTGCTGGGGAAAGGGAGCAGTGGCCAGACACACAAGGGCCTGGGGCCCGGGGGCAGCCAAAGGGCAATGTCAGCGGGGAAGGAAACAGACTAATAGGGATTTTCAATCTACTGTTTGCTGGCGTGAGTTGTAATCTCTCTCGTCTCCCCATGGAATCCTTAAGAGCGCTGCGGAAGCTTCATGGGAATATGACAAAGTACTAAGTTGTTTTGTAAGTTTGAAGTGGGGTGAAATCAGAGACCTCCAATACAAGAATGGCTACATGCAAGTTACATGTACAGTTTTGATTTTCCCATGTTTCTTTTCTCCCGGTAAAAATATCCTAAGCACCCTGTGGCACTATCTGGAGTTTCTATTCTTTTCCATCAGCCTTGGTTATTGAGTAGGACATGTTACTAATGAACCCATTTCTGAGTTTAGAGTTTATTTTTTCTCAGATACACCTATCATTAGGCTACACAAAGTACCTATAGGCCTGAATATGACAACTCATGTGGGCAGAACACTGGCTCTTTATGGAGCCAGTGGATAATTTTTTTTTGGATAATTTTTATTTATTTTCCTGATTGTGAATAAATACATGCACATTATTGAACATTTGGAAATATTAAAAAGTGTAAGAAAAAGAAAATCACCCATAAGTTCACTGCTCAGAAGTAACTACCACGAACAGAATAGATGAGCTCTCTCTCTCTCTCTCTCTCTCTATGTGTGTGTGTGTATCTATATGGAGGCTAGAAAGAGCATATGTACAATATAAATATTTATATATGTTGTCTATATTTATATATAATCAAATTTGGTTCATAAAATCTTATGATTATAAATCTTATATTTATAAAATCTTATACACAGTTTTATTCACTTAACTTTTTGATACAAGCATGCATCCTTTTGATTACATCTTCAAAGATATAATTTAATGCCAGCATTTATCCATATAGACTATCACAATGTGTATCTCGAATTCCTTATTGTTGGATAATTCTGTTTTTCTCCACTTCGGCGATCATATATAATGCTACAATGGACATCCATGTCTATGTACTGTCACTTATATTTAGGTAGACCTGTCTTTTGACACCTTGGAAAGCACACTTGTCTTTGTGTCAGAGTAGAAGTACTTTGAAGTAGAAGTAGAATTTTGTACTCACCTGAAATGAAGCTCAAAAGATACAACCCTAGTGGACCATGCAGGGTTTCAAAGGGCTTGCCAAAAGCATTGTACATGAAGAAGGCTGTTCCCACCATGGTTAGAACGACCAGGATTGTGGAGAAGAGGATGACATTGACGTGGATGCTCACAGGGATCACTTGGAGCAAATCTGGGAAAACTAAAGATAAAACAAAGATTAGAAGAAATTTCATTAGTGGTAGTCTGTGAATGTAATTTCAAAAATTAAATCCTTTTTAACCTCAAAAATCACTAAAATCCTTCAGGTGAATACATTCTCACTTACTAATTTACGAGGGATTTAGAAAAAGGTTTAAACACAGGATTATTCTGTAGAACTCACCAGTAAAGACCAACAAAGAGGAGATTTGAGGGAATTTTTTCTGCCCTTGGTCATATGTAATTACTTAAATAAACAAGTACTGGCTTCATAACCAAAAACTGTACATGTTGATGACCAAACTTTTAATGACATTTCTCAGTAGTATTTTTTTTTTTTTTTTAAATCTGTCTTGAAATGACATTTTCAGTTTGGGGCTATCTGAGGGAGTTCAAACATCAGGAAGTATTTCTGTTTCCTTTGCTCCAAAAAAGAAAAAAATTGTTTCTAGTCCACACCAAGATTTAAAAAATGGGGTATTTTCAGTCAATTTCAATATTTTGATGTCGCACAAGCTGTGGGAAAATAATTTCTGGTGATACTAGAAATATTTTCCACTTAGAAAACATGCCAAATCTATTTCTAGATTTTGTGTTCAGGGCAAGTTTTTCTTGTTTGCAGAGGAAATAAAGTCCTTTATAGTGTAGGGTCTCTCTTATCTGGTGAGGCATCAGCAGGCTTAGCATCAGCAAACCTGGCAAGACCAATCTGGGGAAGTTTAATTCAGGCCATTTCAGTTTCCTGAACATTTATCAAGTGCTCCTTAACATATTTACTGAGCACCTGGTATGTGCCAGGCATTGTTCTAGGTGCTGCATACAAGATAGACAAGGTTCCTGTTGTCTCGTGGAGATTATAACCTCAGGGGAGTAAGTAGACAACAAGTAAACCAGTAAATTTCATAGCTTATCTCCAAAGATGGCCGCCATCAATTCCTTCCCTCCTTCTACACACATGGCACTTCCCCTTTAGAGGAATTTATTCCTCAGTCCCCTTGAACCTGGGCTGGTTTGTGACTGCTTTGGCCACCTGAACATGGCAGCAGAACTACAGCGTGCCAATCCCAGGCTAGCCTCTAAGAAGATCAGCCGTTCCTACGTCTTTTCTCTTGGAGGCTTGAGCAATCATTCGGGAAGTCCAAGTTACTCTGCTGGAGAAAAAGGCCACCCAGAGGAGCACCAGGCACCGGAGGGCAGAGTCTTGGACATACAGCCCAGAAAAGCCTCTGGGTGACTCCAACCCCAGCTGCTGTTTAACTGCAACCCCATCAAGACCTAGGCAGTTGAACTAATAAATTTTTGTTTTAAGCCCCTGACCTTTGGAGGGCTATTATGCAATGGTAACAGAAAGCACTTTCACAGAGTGCGCTGCTATGGAGAAACGAAACAGGGCAATGGAATTTTGAGTGATTGAGTGAATGGATATGGGTGGTCAGCAGTTACACCTAAGCTGGTACCTGAATGCCGGGAAGGAAGTGGCTGTATAAATATCTGGGGAAGAGCATTCCTGGGAAAAGGAACACAGCTGGGGCAGCAGCGAGCCCGTGAGCCTGGTGAGTGAGGGGAGGTGAAGTGGGATTGCGAGACTGGGATCAGACTGTTGCACCCACTGGGTCCTGGTCAACTGACCATGGTAAGGAGTTGGCTTTTAATTCTAAATTCACTGGGAAGCCACTGGGGAGTGTTAAGTAAGAGAGGGACACAGTCTCCTTCATGATGTGAGAAGATCACTCTGGCTGCTGAAGAGCAGGAATAAGGGGGTGAGGGGAGAGTGGAGGGCAGGTGTGGAAGCAGGGAGACCCAGAGGCAGGGAGTGTTCACAGCGGCAAGAGACGGGGTCCCGACCTAAGTTGCAGCAGTAGAGGTCGTGAGCGGTTATCAGATTTGGAATCTATCCTGGAGATAGAAGATAGGACTTGTTGAAAGAAAGGAATCAAGGATAAGCAGCCGAATAAATGGTAATGCTATTAACTGACATAGACAAGTAGAAGGTGTGGGTCTGGACATGGGAACGGGAAGTGAGGCAGGAGTTCTGTTTTAGACATTTGAAGTTTGAGTTGCGCCTAAGAAATGCGAGTAGAGGTGCCAAATAGGATTTATGTGTCCGGAGGTCCAGGGAGAAGGTGGAGGTTTTTAAGGAGGTGAAACTAGGGAGAGGCCAGCAAGGTGCCTAGGGCATGCAGCTTACAGGGACAATCACTCTCTGGGATCAACCCCCTCTTGCACGAGCTCAAGCATGAATGTCTCCTTAAATTTTATGACCTAAGGGCCTCCATGGCCTCATCTTGGTATGTGAAGCCAGAGGAATGGCTATCACCTGTGGAGAAACTGTAGCTAGAGGAGAGAAGAGCCCTGGGGATTGACCTGCACAGGAGAGAAGAGAAACCAGCCAAGGAGCTTGTGTTAGGAACAAATCCATGGGTGGGAGAGCAAAGAAGCCAAGGGAAGAAAATGTTCCAAACAATGATGTGAATCTATAAGAACAGATATGAAATGATCATCAAAATATGTGAGGTGAAAAAAAAAACAAACAAAAACCAAACTAATAGAAATGTGCATTTGGAAAAAGCCAGAGGGGAATATATATAATAACACATAATTAAGTACTTACCTGATTTCATTCTCTCAACAACCCACCTACTACAGGAAAAACTGGGGCTCAGGGGGTGAGGTAACATACCCCAGATTTGTACTTAGTAAGTGATGGAGATTTGAACTCCTGTCTTCGCTCTTAACCAGCATGCTAGAGCAGTCTCAGGGACAGGCATGCTTATCCGGGCAGACACCGTTTCTAGAGGCTACACACAAAATTTGTAGCATCGCTTCTGGAGAAGGAGACTGAGAGATATGTCATTATGTACCTTTTGGATTTTTTTTTTTTTTTTTACCACCTTGGAAGCGTTCTCTATTCAATGAATACATAAGTACCTAAAAAAAATAATAAATGGATAAATGAAGACCAAAAACTCCTGTGACTCGTCTAGATTAGAGGTTTCAGAGATTTATTACTAGATGAAATGTATGGATACTGTTTGTGATTTGAACAAATGCTCTATAAAAGTCATTTTTGAGATAACCAGAGAAAATTGAACATGGACTGGGTATTATATGATATTACATGACTATTATTGATTTCGTTGGTTATATTAATGGTATTGTGGTTATACTTTTATTTTTTTATTTCTTTTTTGTGGTTGTACTTTTAAAAGTCCTTATCAATTAGAAATGATGTGGATGGGTGGGCTGAAAGATAAAATAAGGAAATTCCTCAGCTGCTTGGAGGAATGGCAGGGTGGCAATGTGGACGTTCAAGTCGTGGGTGCTAAGCCTCTGTGCCCCCCGCCCTGTGTTCTGGGGGCACAGAGTGAAGCAGCTAATCTTATTCCTCGATGCCCTGGCCTCCTGAGCTTCCAACTGCTGAGACTGTACCATCGACCCAACCTGCTATTCTTAGCTCTATCAGCTGTTGATTTGGTTTTTACTAGCAGTTATCCAAAAACCCACTTCCGTCTATCTCCCCACCTGTTAAAAGAAGTGGCAACCTCAGCGTCTCTGATAGGGTAGCTAGGTGAAGCCTGTCTGAAAATCGAGGCAGAAAGAAGTTGCACTGATTTGCCTCCTAGAAAGAAAAGCTAGGAGCTAAAATAAATTGTCACATGGAGCATTCTAATTCTTATGAAGTCTCTAACAATTTCCACTCTGTTGAGAAAGTGACCCAGCAGGGTACTAATCCCTGCGAGTTATACAGTTACTCACATTTTCTCTGGTTTCTGTTTTTGATGAAAATTCCCTGAGTCTGTCATAAGTGGCCAGAACTCTGGTAACAGCCCTCCATTTTCTGACCAACATTCACGTGACTTTTGCTTGGCTGAAGCTGAGAGCAGACCATTCAAATAAATATAGGGAGGTGTCACTTTAACCGTATCGGATGTGGTGTAGCGAGGAGGTAGGTTGGTTTGGTCTTTCCGTTCTTTTAGGTTTGGGATTATAACACAGAGAAAGGATTTGAACATTTTGAGCCGAGGAGGACCTGTCATTAAATCCAGCAAGTCACTTCTGGCCTCCAGAAATTACTTAATTAGCTGTTGACAAGTGAAAAGGAGTTATTTATTAAAGCAGGCAGCTGAGGCTTGTCTTTCATTCTCTTCTCACGGATTTCTTCCACTCTGCGTGAGTCAATGTGCCTCGCTCTCCCCATCTTCAGACCACCCCAGCCCCTGAGTGCCCTTTTCTCTGCTCTTTCATCACCAAACTTCCTCAAAGAGCAATACATGAGTAATAATAACAGGACTAAAAATAACAGCCAGAAATGATATAGCATTTGCTATGTTCCAGGTCTTTACCTATATTGCATAAATGAGAGACTTACGTGTTTTAATTTTTACAACATAAATTGAAATACAAATGAGAGATTTAAATCTTTTCATTCTTACGACAATATAAAGACAGGACTATTTTATCCTCAATGTATAGATTTAAAAAAACAAAACAAAACAAAAAACCCAGAAGCACAGAGAAGTCAAATTGCCTAGCCACACAGGGGTATTGCTGTCTTTGCTTTTGACTCCCTCCCCGCCCCCATTTTTAAGATTAAAGTAAAATTAACATCGTAAAGAATTCTCCCTTTTTATTTTCTGTGAATTTTGACACTCAGTCATGTAACTATGACCTCAATCAAGATATAGGACAATTTCATAGTTCCCAAAACTTCTGGGTTCCCCTTTGCTGTCCACCTGCCCCGTGGCCCCAACCCCCAGCTCCTGCATGGGTAACATTGTAAAAAACTGCAAACTGTTTTCCAGAGTGTCTGTGCCATTTCACCTTCCCACCGGGGAAGAGTCCCAGTCCTTCCGCATGCTTGCACTTGGCAGCTTTTTAAAATTGTAGCCATTTAAATAGGTGTGTAGTTTACCTCATTGTATAATGTTTTACTTGGCATTTTCCAAATGACTAATGATATTGAGCATCATTTTGTGAGTTTATTTGCTTTCTACATATCTTTTTTGGTGAAGTGTGTTGATATCTTTGTGCATTTTTTATTGGATTGTTTCTTATTGAGTTCTGAGAATTCTTTACGCATGCTGGATATGAGCCCTTTATCAGATAAGTAATTCACAAATATTTTCTCCAAGTATGTGGCTGGTCTGTTCATTCCCTTATCAGTGCCTTTTGAAGAGTAGTTCTTATTTTTATGAATTCTAGTTTATCAGTTGTTTTTCTTTTATGTATCATGTTGTGGATGTCAAATCTAAGAAGTCTTTGCCTCATGCAAGGTCACAGATATTTTTGCCTATGTTTTTCTTCTAGGCATTTTTTAGTTTTAGGTTCACATTTAAGTTCGTGATCCATTTTGATTTATTTTTTTTATATGGCCAAGGTTAATTTTTGTTTTTGCATATGGATATCCAGTTGTTTCTGTGCTTAAAAAAACTGAACATAGACTTAACATATGACCCAGCAACTCCATTTCTAGGTATTTACCTAAGAGAATTAAAAACATATGTCCACAAAAATCTGTATGCAAATGTTTACAGTGGCTTTATTCATATTTGCCAAAAACTGGAGACATCTTAAGTATCCATCAACTGGTGAATGGATAAACAAGCTTTGGCCCGCCCATAAGATAACATACTTCTCAGTAATAAAAAGGAACAGACCATTGGTGCATACAATAATGCGGATGGATCTGAAATGCATTATGCTAACTGAAATGAACTACACTCAAAAGGTTGCATGTTGTAGGACTCCATCCACATGGCATCTGGAAAATAATGACAGAAAACAGATCAGTTTTTGCCCCAGCTTGGCAGGGAGGGAGGAGATAGACCACAAAAGGGGCACGGGAGAAATTTTGAGGGTGATGGAAGTATTCTGTATCTTGATTGTGGTGGTATTTCCATGCCTTTATGCATTAGTCAAAATTTTATAGACCTGTACACTTAAAAATGGTGAATTTTACTGTATGTAATTATACTGCAATAAACCTAAAACCAAAAAAGAGTGGGAGGATAAGGTCTGGACTGAGGAGGCTCTTCCAGACATGAACAAGACCCTCAGCCCAAGTGACCATTTGGCGTGGAGGAGGATGAACTCCGTAAGAGAGAAGAAAGGAGCAGAGGGCCAAGAACCAAGTGCCAGGCTCTAATCCACTGTGTGCCCTGGAGTAGGTCAAAGGGTCCCTGTTTCTCTCTGTAAAATGAAGGTTTTCCTTGGGGCAGCCTGGGAAGGGACCGGGCTTCTGAAATCAGAGGAGATTCACACTGCAGCTCCTTTTCTAAGTCTGCGAACTCCCTAAGCCTTGACTTCCTTATCTGAAAAGGAAATTCTACCTTTCTCTCAAATGTGTGAGGACTGCATGACCTCAGCATATTGAGTTCTTAGCACAGGGTAGGTGCTCAGTAGAAGTCTCTATGGTGTGCCCCTTCCAAGGGCCAGTTCCACCACTGTTCATGGCCGCCCCTTCTCACCTCCTCAGAGACACTGCTGAGGAGTTCTCTCTCTGCCAGGTGCATTTCCCCCTCTCTTTGGATCAGTCCCATCAGCACACAAGTAACGTGCTGTCATTTTCTCAACTTAAAAAAAAATAATTATATATATATATATATATATATATATATATATCAGGGCGCCTGGGTGGCTTAGTCGGTTAAATGTCCGACTCTTGATTTCAGCTCAGGTCATGATCTCAGGGTGGTGAGATCGAGCCCTGCATCCAGCTCCCTGCTCAGCACGGAGTCTGCTTGTCCCTCTCCCTCTACTCCTCCCCCAGCTCATGTGCGCTCTCTCACGCTCTCTAAACATAAATAAATAAAATATAAAAAAAAAAAATCTCACTTAAGCCCTCTAGCTATTATTCCTTTTTTTCTATTTCCCTTAGAGCAAAACCCCTCCGGGAGTTGGCTGTATTCTCGAGTCTCCTCCCTCCCTCCACTTTCTCTCTTGAACGCACTTGCACTGATAACTACATTTCCCAAGGCACCGAAGAGCTTCAAGCTGCCAAACCCAACAGTCAATCTTTGTCCCCATCTTCCCTGGGCTACATTTGGCACAATGGCTCACTGCCTCCTCCTGGAAACGCTTCCTTCCCCGGGCTCCCCAACATGACACTCTCCGGCTTCTGCTACCTCACTGGCTACGATCTTGATCTGCTTTGTTGATTCATCTTCCTCTCTGGAGTTCTCTAGGGATGACTGCATTCTTGGACCTCTTCTCTTCTCCCTCTTGACTCCCTTCCTTGGTGCTCTATCCAGTAGCATGGCTTTTACTAGAAACACTTACAAAGCTCTATCTCCAGCCTGGATTTCCCCTTAAATCCCACACTTGTAAGTCCTCAACTTCCTACTGAACATCTTGCCTGGAATATGAAATAGGCATCTCATGGTGTCCCAAACCGCAGGGAAGACTTTCCCTTCCTCACACTTGCTTCCTTCAGCCTTCTTCACCTCAGTTGCTGGCAGCTCCATTCTTCCTTGGCCTCATCCTTGATTTTTACTCTCCTATTTCATGTTGAATCCATCAGGAAAACCTGTTGGCATGACCTTCAGAATCTGACCACTTCTCTCCGTCTCCTCTGCTCCATCCCAGTCTAAGCCACCGTCATCTCTCATTCAGAGGACAGCAA